TTTTACTAATAACTTGTTTGACTATATATATCCATATATATGTAAATGTCCATATACATATATTAAAAAGCATATTAATTTCAAATTATTAAGTTATTTTTCAAAATAAGTCCTTTTAATCATTTATTTGAAAAAAATGTTTTAATAATTTTTCCCACGTCTTTTATTTAAATTATTTTACATCTCTGTAATAGATCACACCAGTAGTACCATTAACTTTATTAAGTGTTAAAAATATAATATGCATTATGTGGAACACGGGGACAAAAGTAAAGACATAATTCCAGATCTCTAAAATAACTATACTATGTATAAAACATAAAATATATAAAGCTTTATCAAAATAACTACCTTTGCTCTTGACATGAGAAATTTGACAGCTCGATCATGGCATATATCTGACGCACTACACAATAACTCCTGGATATTAACTGCCAGCTTTCCTAACTCTAAGTCAGTTAATTTCATGTCTTCACTGACCCTGAAAATGATAAAATCAGATTTAGTCAGGGAAAGTTGTAAACACCGTATTCTCCACAGGTGACATATCAATAAAAAGAACAAAAGCCTGTAAAATTTACATTTGAGAAAAAATTCTGTGACATACCAAACATTTTATAGTTTTTATGGTGAAGTATCACTTAAACATTCTCAGATAATACAAATACATTTTATTCTAACTTTATTTAAGAATAATTTTTTTTCTCTATTATAGTATTTTTAACACTTAGTTCAGACTCCGATTGGAAAGTCTACAGAAACTATAGCAAAAAAAGTTTTTAATTTAGGTACAAGAGGGAAGCTGTGGCAGGGGAGGGATTATGTATAGGCATCTAGCATGACACAGTGGAAAGAGGAAGAAGGAAGGATTATTATTTCATGACAAAGACGACCTTTTTTTACTTATAATTATAAATGACTGTTGATATTCAATTCAACTGAATTAATATTTACTTTGTTTCATACAGTGCTAGGCACTGGAGGGGAAAAAGTAGGTTGGTGCTCGCAACTTACAATCAAACAGGAGAATTCATAAGATGTAATGTACTTTTTTCAATTCTAAATGGAAATGTAAAACTTGCTGTTTTCGAACATTTTCCCCTAAGGGCATATATAAAGACCACTGATTCCAGCTGGCTTAGCTCAGTTGTTTAGAAAAGAGCCTTGTAACACCAAGATTAAGAGTTCGGTTCCCTGTACCAGCCACCCACCAAAAAACAAACAAGCAAAAGACCACTGATTCTATGTCAACAATTCTGTTTAGTGTTACCATGAACCGAATTAAGTGTCTTAACATAATTTTTCTCCCTTTCAGTTGAATTAAAATAATTTTCAAAGATATTACAAAGAGGATCTGATGTACATTAATTTGAGGCACACCACCACTCTTACTAAGTTAAGGTATTAAAGAAAGATATTACTGGCCATCCTTCAAAATTATATCACTAAATTTATCCACTAATGCTTTAAAATAATAGAGGGATTAATATTCTTAAAGTACTCTCAGAAATATTATCTTGTTTGACTCTCACAGTCTGAGGTAGGTAGATAAATATCTACTTACAGATTAGGACACTGAATTTTAGAAAATTTAAGTGACCTACCCAAGATCACAAGGTTAAGAGGGTAGGACTAGAACTAGTCTCTAGGACTAGTCTCCCTCTAACCAGATAAGCTTCCTCTGCTCCAACATTTATTTCTATGTAAACAGTCCAGCAGTATTCCAATATTGTACCAGCTCCCATAAAAATGTCTGCTTAAATTTTAAAGTTAAAATTTACTATGAAAATAAAGTTTTATTTTCTGAAGGATTACTAAAATTTGCTCCCATGTAACAGAATGATTGAGGAATTTGGAACTTTGGCAACATGCTAATCTAAATTACAAAGATATAGGGCCGGCCTGGTGGCGCACTGCTACAGTG